GATATGTTAAACTTAATCAAAACATATTTGTTAATATATAGAATAGATACAGACTTACAAAATTTTATTATTTTCAACTTTATGATAAATAAAAATATTATTATCAGAAGGGTTTTTGTGTAGATATTATAGTAATTTTAGTTGTTGAGATCATGAATCTATTGAAGTGAGATCACTATAGAAAACCTCAGCAGTGTGTATTCACAATTCTGTGTGCGAGACCAATAGATTCTGGGTTCAAATCTTGCGAGGTGGGATCGTGATTGTGCATTGATGAAGAGTTTCCCAATAGAACGAAATGGCTGTTCAGTACTTCTAGGTTTTCCATGGTGGTCTAGCTTTTATTGATCTTAATTATGAAAAATATTATTCATATAGAAAATGAACGATTGATTCACATTTATTTATACTTTAATGGTGTAAATTACAATTTTACAATTGCTATGATGTAGATATTAACAACAAACAGAGTAATATAGGTAATATCAGAAGGGGTTTCGTGGAGATTTTAGTAATTTCAATAGTTGAAATCATGAGTCAATTGAAGCTAGACCACCATGAAAAACCTGAAAGCACTTCAATTGACTCATGATTTCAATTATTGAAATTACTAAAATCTTTACAAAACCCATTCTGATAATAATCATCTGCTCACTAGTGACTGACTTCAAGAGGTGTTTCCTGGAGTTCTAGTGAGAAGCCGTGATCAGTGGAGCTCAACCAGATGTGTTGTGAGATATCAGTTCATTGAAGACAATGGTGACAGTGGCGCCATTTCGTGGATTAGTTCAAGTTAAACATTAACACCGTTGGATGTCGGTTCCGTGGTCTAATAGTTAAGCGCTCGCACGTGACACTGACAGGTTTTGTGATCGAATCTCGCGGAATGCGGAATCGTGGATGCGCTCTGCTGAGGAGTCCCACAATAGGACGAAACGGCTATCCACTGCTTCCAGGTTTTCCATGGTGGTCTAGTTTCGATTGAATTATGATCTCAACTATTGTAATATAAGTAACACTAAACATTTATTCATTAAGACACATAAACATAATAGATATTTATGTGTATAGATTATAGAGATTTATTCAATTTAAAGTTAGTTTTTTATTATAACTTAAGATCAACTGAAGAAGTAATATTAGAAAAAAAAACATAGAAATATTGTATACATATTTCATACTCGTTTGTAAAATCTACAACAGTATTCGCTTACTAAAATATCACACGATATACGATTTAGGTCATTGTGATTCTATGTTCAAATATTTCCCTCTTTTTTTTCAAAAAGAAATTTATTTATAAAATATTCATTATTTAATGTTCAATAGTTTTTAATATCAATAATAATTGCTAGATATGTATAACTCTACAATAGAAATTATCAGATGATAGCTAATATCATGCAATAATTTATTGACTATTATTTACTATGGATACAATGATACAGTGTGATACATTTATTAATTAAGTTTCAACAAACTATTTTAAAACTAGGCGATAAATTTGATTCATTAAAACGGTTTGATTATTTCAATGGGTTACAGGGAATAGTTTATTAATCATAAGTGAAATTATATTTAAAAAATATATTCTAACACAGTAGAATAGGTATAGATCAATAAAGTGTAGGTGTCTAATGGTAACTGTTATATCCCAATGAGAGTAATAAATAGTAACTGTTGGAATCTATTTCTGCATTAATACTATACTCATATTTTCACTGTATAATTGTTACAGGACTAAATTATTTATATTCGTGTTCCTCTAATCGTAAGCTTTATTTTAACTCATAGACTATTATCACACGAACTACTATCCTTGAGTTATACCCACTTTATTGATTACAGTCTCCCACAATCACAGACACAATCTCTGACTAGAACTTGTACAAATGTTATTTTCTAATTTATAGTACGATGTGATCTATTTGGTTTGAATATAAATCCAGTATGTTTGAAATACATGATTGATATCGTTGAGGTTGAGATTGGTGTTGTCACTGCCTTCTCGTGGCGAGGGTGTTGTTCAGGAAAATAAGAGGACGAAAAGCGAATGTCCGGCGCTTTAACCGGATTCCAAACCAATGGTACACATGAGCTCCAGTTTCCTGAGGGAACAAATGGCGTATGAACCAGTCGTTGGTCACCGGATACCATGGGACTGCCTCTCCCCACGATGCTCCACTGCCTTGTGGATCAGACCTTCAGGTCGAAGGCTTGGAGTGTGGCCCCCTAAGAAAACCACCTGCTTCGGTTTGGGCACCGGGGCAGTATCACAGCCCTCATACATATCGAATGAGATTTGTGTGTCGCATATATATTTGGTGCCTCATTGTACCAATGTTTATGTGTTAAAATGATTCTAGATTGCTCATATGGGTTTTATGCATCAATGGTGCGGTCGATAAATCACTGTTCTCTAATTGGTGGTATCATTACTTTAAGTATTAATGGGACACAATGCCACAAGTTATAACAGTAACCTGTAGTAAAACAAAGAAAACAACAATAGAAAAGTCCGAAGCATTGATGAAATACTTGCTTTATTTCATCTGGTGTCTTAAAACTACCATCAAGAAAAATAATCTTGATAAATCACTTAATCAGTGAGTTTGAAGTCAGACAGAGTTCATAGCCAGGTTTTAATCTGTTGGCTAAAGATTTGTCATAGTGCTCAGTTTTATGATTTGATAAACTTTCTGATCCGACTTGAATTCAATATTGTTCTTAAGGATGTGACATTAAAGTGTAACTGATTTTATTCAAACAAACTGTTTTGATGAGTACTTTAATTCTGGTTTAAGCTGAATAGGATCGATTGAAATTTATTAAATGAATTCGTAACCACCTTTTGTTTTATGATTAATAGTGTTTTCACCAAACAGAATCAAATACATTTTTTTATTCATTATATTAGCATCGATATTGAAGCCAGGAAATATTTAACTGATTAAAAAAATACCTTACAAATAAGTCGTAACACTTTTCTATCAAAAATTCTTCATCACTAATTAGTGTTTATTAGTCGTCATTAATATATATTAATGGACCTGTATCTGACTCTAATTAGATTGTATGGTGATTGTTATGGAAACATACATGCCGTCAAACCCTCTTACATATAACTAAGTCAAACATGAGAATGCATTTTGAATACGTATATTTTGTGCACTAATTGATCTGAACAGACAATCAAAGAATTGAAGTGAAGCGAGACGAGACGAGGTGAAGGACAGCTGCTAAGGCGAGTGGGCCAACTTGATCAAGCATGACTTAATGTTAAGTCAGATACAAATAGGTCACAGACATGTGATGAGCAGGATATGCAATGCACACACATACGCTCATATAAAAACAGACAATATTGATAAGCGAATTGGTGACAAGGTCAAAATGTGATTCAAGAAGACGAATAAATAATTCTGTCCGGAAGCTAGAATAACCTATGCAGACGTGACGGCACTAAATGCTACAAGCCTTTACTAATAAATCATTTATCTAGAGAATTTGATTTATTGAACAAGCTCTGTAAATTACCTATTACAACTCGGTTACTTTGTTATGTAACATCTAAATCATGTTCACAAAATAAGCTTACTGTAGTAATTAAGATGAAATGTAAGTTATTTATGCGAGTATGCAAAAACGAACTGGTTACGACGATTCATCTAGCCTAATGAAATGTGAGTTGGAAAGTAAGTGTATTCTATGGAACCTACACCTTGATTAATTGCATACTAAAACATGAATCTTATATTGATGCAAATAACTGATCGTGTCTAAAGAAAATATTTAGTGGGATCAACGAACTAGTTCCATTAAACTAAAAAGTTTTTATCAGTACTTGTATTATCTTGTGAACCATGGAGTAATGAGATAGTCAATCCTCAATGGTTTAACTGGACTACATTATAACCTTTTAACCTAAACGATTTTAGTCTATTTTAAAAATATTGATAAGAATTGAGGCACAGTTGGGTCTATTCTGTAAATTGAGTGTTCGAACACATCGATGTTGAGTTTAGCCCAAAACAAGCAATCCAATCAATTCGTGTTTAAATAAGCAATTCAATTGGCAGACTGTGCATACTAGTGTCACCAATGTTCAAGGAACACTAGTTCTTAACGTTAGTGAGTCAGGAACTGCAACAAACGAACATGACAGTGACTACCAGAGTAAAAACGGATTGCATCACGAACGGCTGACTGAAAGGTTAATCAGATATATTGCAAATAGTTCGACAGAATTTGGCCGGGCACAAGTATTAGATGATTTGATTCAGTAATCCATAATATCTGAATCTTACAGATCAGTTATGGCATAAGTGATTGGGTAGATTCGAACTACGTGGTGAACGTTAATTCACCGACGGTTTCAAATACAGCTTGATCAAGAGTGTAAAGTAGCACAAAAACTTAAGTTGCGTGGTTCCTACAAACAGTCTCCAACAATACATTATACTTAGCTGTAGGTGCACACTAAATTGGCAGTACTTAAATCATACACTTTAACAGATTTATTCATGATACATCTGGAGATAAATACACATATTCTCCTAATTTTTGAATAACACAATTACTGATGAATTAATTTATTAATCATCACTCTATATTATCAGAAATTACAAAATAATGCAGGTAACAGTTTGGATTCCACTTAAAAAGAAATAAATTAATCTGGAAAAGACACATTGTGGGGAGGAATCAAAAGTGAAGACACACATAATTCACTGTACAGAGTCACCGAAAAAAAACAACCAAAATATCACTTTGAAAATAATAATAAAAAAATTATATTAGACTAATCTTCAGGAAAGAGTGAAAGTAAAAAATAACTAAGATAAGTAGCCTGTACAAATAAAACGAACAGAAAGAATTTCACAACTTGAAAACATACATGACAAATTAAACCTCTTCTGTTCACTGATGAACTGAGAAAAGTCAATGAGATTAGGAAATGTTATAATAATAATAATAAGAAGAAGAAGAAGAAGAAACTTTTAATGTACTCTAGAAATATGGGAAGTTACAAAGGTTGTTTTATCAGTATTCACAGGTGCCTGTTTACATAACGATAGATTTTCGATAAAATTAACAATACTGGTATATGATAGATCAGAAGGATTCATTGGTTTACTTATATATAAATGATCTGAATCGATACGTACCAATTTGCCCATCTCTCGGTCTACAATATAGATGATAAATAATGAAATGAGAGTTTAGAAAAAAAAATTTACGACTTCAAAAAAGTGAGATTATTTGAATAAATGACAAAACTATGACCGGATTGAATAACAAGAAAAATATTTAAGAGTTAGTTGTTTGGAAGTTCTAAGAGAGTTTTGGGTGAAAACAGATTTACGATTTAGATAAAGAATTTTGTTTAAGCAACTTATCTAAGTTTTAAAAAAGTACAATTGTTTTTCATTTTTTACAAGGGGTTGGATAATTAGCAACTGAGATTCTAGAAAGAATGATCACTGTCTTAGACATTGTATCCTACTCACTGACTTCTCACAGTGGGTGTGTTGTTTACATAATTGAGAGGACGAAAAGCTAGAAAACCCTGATTCCAAACCAATGGTGCACATGGGCTCCAGTATCCTGAGGGAACAAATGGCGTATGAACCTGTTGTTGGTCACCGGATACCATGGGACTGCATATCCTGACGTTACTCCATTGCCTTGTGGATTAGACCTTCATATCAAAGGTTAGGGGAATGACCGCCTAAGAAATCCACCTGCTTCGGTTTGGGCACCCGGGCAGTATCACAGCCCTCACACAAAACAAACGACGAAATGTAGCGCATCCTTGTACCAATGTTCATGTGTGTTCAAATAAATAAGTATCTAACATCTTAATTAGTTCAACTAGTAACATTGAGCCGTAGCATTTACAGATTTTTTGGAAGAGGATAATTCGATTCTGTTCAGTCTACTTCAACTTCCTAGGTATCGAGAAACCGAAATTCGTATCGTTGGTCACTATAGGGGCACATTTTAATGCCATAATATCCCAATATAATCAGTAAAAGGACTTAAGTCCCACAAATCTATTAGCGAAGCAACTTCCGCTACGGTAGTAGAGGTCTCTATTCTCAGTGGTGTCACAAACTAATCTTTTTTTACATAACAGAATCAAAAGGTTGATGGAAATCAGTCGTAGTCTGAAAGAAGCCGTGTAATGAACAATTCTGAACTAGATTTTAATGTAGCTAGTTAGTCAGTGCTTGTATTCAGTGAACTAAGAAAGTTCACGCACTTTCACTGTATCAAGCAATGTAAAACATACTTCATAAGGATGAGAATATTGAGAAATCCAGATTGTCAGCAAAGCAACTTTAAATAACTTTATTGAATTGAAAGACATTTACATGAACATGGATTAAGACAAACCTTTAACATCTTCAGGGACAATTAAAACAGACCAAAATCTGTTGATTGGTGTTACACGACTTTCAACCATAGATAAGATTTGTAATTTATGACTATATGCCCATAGATTAAACCAAACATGGAGATCCAACAAATAGTTTGAATCTATAAAATAAAGATAAGGCAGTGTAAGATATTTTAATTAAAATTACCCTTTCCATACAACATGATTGTCATTTTTTGCAGTCTGTTTGATGAAAATGTTCATCAAATTCAGTTTCCCTACCTTCTAAAGCAAAAAATGCAAAAATGCTAGGGATACAATTCTCTACCTCTGCATACAAAATGTTGCTTCAAGACTGATTGGATTGCATCAGCCCTAATGAGTTGATGTGAGAAAGCTCCCTTAGCATGTTTTTAGTTTGCATCACTTGTTGCGTAGGCGAAATGTCCGTCTGTCAACCAAAGGACGAGCACACTAGGCAGCACTTAGTTTTGTTATACTCTGTGGTTGTTAAAAGTAACCTTTAAAAGTAGAGGATATTCGTAGGTCACCAGAATTTGATAACAGATACGTCTGTAGCATCGACCCCGTATGTTCAAGCTATCGAGTGAGCACTGCTGAGGTTAGACGCATAATACTTAGCAAGAGTGGAAAATCTATTGATGAGGTTGTGAATCTTTATCGTCTAGACAAGAGATGTTGGGAGGTGTAAGAGTGAGCTGAAAGAAAGCTAAGATGACCAAACTAAAACGTAGGATCAGTTCATAAACTAGTTAAAGTGAGTCGTATTGTTAGGAGCACACTGACTGGTTAAGGTCTGCGCAATTATCTTAATTGATGTTTGGAGACTGAGTGACAGTGCTCAAAATCGATCGCAATGGCGAAGATTCATACTCCTTCTGTCTTCCCCTTAGACCTTAAATTTTAAAATTATCTTATACTCTTTTTTATTTTTCCTGATAATTTATTCTTCCACTAAGAATCTTAAGACCTATTCCCAATTTTTTCTACTACAACTAATAGTATTATTTAACTCTACGATTCAGGGATTTGCCTCGATAATTTTACCTTGCTGTGTTAGTGTTGTGACAACTTGGACTGATGGTTAAAATGCTAACTTTTACGCCACGCATGACTGACTCCGCTATTATCGGCTAAATCATACAAAAAAGTCGGTAGGAGTATAGGATGAGTTTAAAACAACGATCTGTTAACTAAGATGTTATTTTTAAATCTATTCATGAATAGATTTGCAAATATAGATGATACACAGAGATTTATCGCAACTCCATTTGTCTAACGAAATAAGCTTCCTTTGAACTTAAAATAATTAGTTCCTACGAAAAAGTTCAAAGCTTTGACGATCCTACTGGTATTTCGTGGACATCATTCTGATAGATTCGTGCCCGATTCGAACAAACCGAAAATAATAGGGATGCTAGCAAATCATGGACAAATATCATGGCTTTATCTAGCTTCTAGTTTGTTATTTTTAATTTAAAATCAAAATGAATGTTTATTTATAAGTCTTGTATATTTTTAGAAAGATTTTCACACTAAAGACAGGTATTTGGAGAAAAGATATGCTAGTAAATTAGTGAAATTTACTACTGGTCTTAATGGGATCGAACGTTTGTGTATTTTTAGTCGACTGTAGAATCTTGAGAGTACATAAAATCTCAATTTTAATTAAAACCAAAGGTAGCTCCCAATTTTGAGTTTCAATCCTCGAAGAATTTTGTTTGTGTTAAGTTTCAACCCTGGTGATTTGAACTGGATTTGGACACCAACATGTTACGATATTTGTCACCAACATATACTCACGTTATTATTGTTCTAATGATTAGTGATTTCCCACATTACTGACAATAACTACATTTGTTTCGTACATTTTACTTTTTTTGTAACACTGCATTTAGTTCACAAAATTAGCATATTTGTGAGGGTAGATTTACAGTAAGTAAAATATTAATTTACTGGATCTAACTATGATATATGCTACTGATATCCACAGATATAAGTACTATGTATCACCAATAGAAAGTGAAATGTCTGATTGCACTAGGCTAAGAAGATAGAAGAAAAGAGGACGAAAACAGAGAGTGATTGGTGCGGAAATGAAGGAACAATGAAGTCCGAGGCAATTGATGGATATTTTGCAAGTGAAGTATTCACTGTATGATTCTCAGATTTTACCAAGATATTCTGTACTGTTGTATTAAAATACCTTTGGTTGTCCCCACTTAAGTTCTCGTTCGCTACATAACAATATTCGTTAATCTCGCTTTAGGAAAAATTTAATTGTAATAAGCTGGTATTACTTTTACACAGTTTAGTTAGATACAACATGACAAACTCATAGATGATACGAAAGAAAAAAAGTTGAAACCTCAGTAAATAAAAAAGAAACGAAAATTATTTATTGTCAGTAAGCAAAATAAAAGTACGAACATACTTTTTTCAAGTTGAATAGCTTCAGGAGTAAGCGCCCATCGGAATGGACGACGATATAAAGTGTGCACCGATTGATTTCCTCTATGTGGTGTACTCATAAATACAACTGCTTGTGTACTGCTTGCTAATGTTTGGTAATTTACAGGATCTGTTTTCGAACTATCGGATAAAGTGGTTAGGAATGATGCATCACTACTGCGTTTGGACAGAAAATCAGAACAACTAGACGAATAATACATACGATTTTCAAAATATTTATCAGAAGTACTGGAATTTTTATCTTCAACAAAACTAGTATTCGATATATTTGACGGATTTCCATTCTCCTGGTCAGTTTCGTGACAATACCATTTACAGGATGGATCGATTTTAGAAATTGAGGATTGAGAAACAGATGGGTTTTCTCCACTTAAAACTGACAAAGCTGCATAAGTATGAGAAACGTGTGCACACTCTCTAGTGCTAAACGTGGTACTTGGCTCAGAATGATCGTTTTCCGATTGTTCGGAAGTACCATTGCTAACAGAATTAGCCAATCGAAGCATTTCTTTCACAAGTATACCTATTGATGGTGTTAGAAAAACGAATATTTCATATAAGTATTAAAAGGGTAGTAGTTAATAGTTACTTCCAAACAGTAATATTCAATTATTAAATTGGGCAAATGAAATATATAAAACGATATACACATGGAGAAATCTTTCTTGGTTTCCAATATGTACGCACATTCTTAAAAAAATCAGAATCCATGAATTTGAAGAATACAAATTGAATTAGTGGGGATCTAGACGACATAATACAGTTTAATTAGTGTACATAATAATCAGAAATAAACTTTGATACATATTCGTACGAATACATATTTTGTTTCTAATATGGATTAACACTATCAACTAAATGTCCAGCATCGTATTTATCCCACACTTTTTGCTTTTCATCGCAATCCCCTGAATCATGGTGATGTGAAGTGTGAAAATTTTAATAGATATATATTTGTATCAGTATTCTCGTTGTATACAATATGACTGAAAGTATTCGAACCTAAAAGAACCATTTTTTTATATGTTGCATGGATCGTGACTGACAATGGAGTCCGAGAAGTCTATTCGGAACTCGTCAGCTGGATATACCTGCATGTCAGTTTTGATATTTATATCGGAACCCTAATCCGGTACCTTACTCTTTAAACACAAAATCCATTACTCACTGAGCGATTGAGTACTGATAGCTAAAGATGAAATGCAAATATTGGGTTCCAGTGATGACCACAACTCATCAAAGCAAGCCACATAGGATACACATATGCCAACAAAGACTAATCAGAATTCAGCTCTCCATATCAATAACTGGGTTATTTAAATCTTATTATCAATTTTTTGTACATAGAATGTGATTCCGATGGATCCACTATTAATAATAGCAGTGAACAAGCTTTACATGAATCCATCATTCCAAGAGTACATTTTTAACGAACCTTTATATTTTCAAGTTCATAATAATGTCTTAATATTAAGAAGTTTAATAAAATTTGTTTGTTTGCATACATATATACGTATTAATTATTTATAACTAAAAATGGTACTATTTATTTATTGAAAGCTCAACACTTCATTATTTCGATCCACACACATAACTTCTCCATATATATGAAATGATGTGTCTTACAGTGAGTGTCGGTAAGCAGAGTACATTCTAGTTTGTATTTAATATAGATTATCAACATTGGAAAATGAAAAAGTAAGAAATACAAAACTAGGACCAAATTTAGTGAGTCAATAAGTACGAGTTTCTTCTAAATTAAACTTACTACTAATAGTAAGAATACATGTTTTTAATCTTGACTAACAAGTTGAGTTTATCAACCAGTGTTCGTGATAATTTTCACATTCTGGGATATGTAAAAAATGATGAAAGTCTCGTCAACCATAAGTTGCCTAGTGTTTGACGAAATCTCAGCACGGTATTGGTTAGTGTTCGTTAACTTAAGTTATTTATGGGGTAGTTGAAATGTCCGTCTGCTAACCAAGGTGTGTATACCGTGCAGTAGTCCTCTTTATATTAATGGTTGTGAAACATGGTCTATGAAAGCTTAGCTTAAGACATATTCAGGAAGCAGGTTTTTGACCAAAGGTTTCCTTGAAATATTCTCGTGTTTTGTGAGGCAAATGCACGACCAATGTTACGGTTAGGCATAGCGGTACCAAACAGAAGTGAGAAACCAGTTGCTGAGATTGTAAATCTTGATAAGCTGCAGTGGTTGGGATCTACGTTACGTATGCCTAACCATAGAATAAATCGACGGGCAAATCTTTACTAATGTAGAAGAAGCCTGGGAGCGGCCAAACCAATACATAAGAATCGGTCTGTGAAGTCACTGACTCCTGATCTCAATCAAACTGGTTTAAGAAAACTAAATGGTTGTGGTTCGCGCGATAACAACGACTAGTGGTTGGGAACGTTCGATAAGATAGCTCTGAACTTTAAGTAGCACTTCAAATAAAAGTATCTCTAAGAAACTGCAATTTAAAAGTGTAGCTCACAATATTATGAATGGATTTGTAATAGAGAAGTGAACTACATCGTTATTACCATACGTGATGATACAGTTGAAGTCTGAATTGTATTGCAAAATATTTATTAGTTTTAACAATCGAACTGCTAAAACCCAACCAGTTCTTAATGATAATTGAATTCTATTTATCAAGTTGTAACGTGGTCACTATTCTAGGTAACTCATTATTGCGATATATTATCTTTGGTCTTAGGTGGTTGAAATTGACCGGTAGAAATCATAAAAGCTAGGTTTCATATAAGATGTAAACCGTCAGAGATGTGTATAAATTCTCGAGGGAAATGATGCTTTCTACAAAATTTAAATGCACATCACAGTCAGAGACAGTACCACTGAGCTATCAAAGTCCTAAATGATTTCCCGTAAACCTGAGATGTGTACACTAACTTATGCAATATTATTAACTCCTTAACGTTTGCTGAATCAACGTATTGGTGATGTATGAGAACTAACGCAAATTATATTTAATGTGAATACTTCTAGCATAAAGAGATAGGGCCATTTTTCCCAAGTGGATGAAATGCTCAGCTAGTTCTTACAGTTTGACAAAAAGCAACTTCATAAAGAACAACACAATTACTCAACAGGTATTTTAGGATAATTCAGAGATATTAAATAGAATGAAAAATCCTAGACCATTAGACTACAATTAAAACATCACTTTAACGGAATGATAGTAATAGTAACTCCTTCATTGATCAGCAAAAAAAGAGTAGCAGTGAAATTATGACAAAATATGTATTATTTCAACAACAAAAAATCAATATCATTTCATGGGGTAAATGATTTTGAATAACTATTAATCAGGTTTCTCATTAATATGGCTAACTTCGGATGAATTTCCTAAAGTTTTATTGAAAAGGAAGTCAAATGCGAAGTTATACTTTGATGATATTGAGTGCAGCGGGGGAGGAGCAGGGGTTAGACTGTAATCACAAAATGATAGAAATTAGAAAATCTAAACCTTTAGATTCCGAACCAGTAACTTAGTGCGTTTGTTCTTGTCGTAAAGAGAGGAATATTCAGTTAGAGTACCTAGACTCCACTCATTAGGTTGCAGGTTTGAATCACACCGTATACTTTGATTTGGGCAAGCTTTTCATACAAACGATGTAGCTTAAAACTAAATACATAAACCTGTAATTTAAAACAATTAGTCCCTTTGACAAATTTCGATAATGTAATGAGAAAATTCGTCTTGTAATTGCATTAGCGAAACCTGTAATTTACAAATACGTTATACGTTACAGTAAGGGACTTGGAATTGGATTCAGTGTAAGGTGGTAAGTACTTACCAGCGAAGAACTATAGAGTATAACATAACTAGTGTATTTAACGATCCATAGTTTATAGTACTTACCTAGTGGATAACAGATTTTTGATAATAAAAAAATAACCACCATATACTACAACTCTGATGCTAATATTTATTTTTCCTAAAGTAACAAAAAATTAATTGATGAACAAAACAAAACAAAACAAAACCAGCAAAATATGAAAACGAAAGAAGTAGTAAAAAAAAGAGTGAATTACCTCCAGCTGAATGAGTAATCCATATTATAGGTCGACGACCAACTTCTGCTTTTTTAAGTTGTTTCATTATATCTACAGCTCGCTCATTTAATGTACGCCTATTAAAACAAAAACAAAGAAAACGCATTGTACTACAGAGATTGATTTTTATCAAATTCACGAGAAATAGAGAGACATTTTGTTAATATACACAGTATATATGATTAGATCATTTGAATAAATTAATTAGATGATTATAAGTGTATATGTTAAACTATACAGCGAAGTAGTAATCATACTTTACCATAAACTTTAAATGTTCTAAACAAAGTATCTAGTCAGTTTTGTCATTCAATATCAGCCACAGAAGGATTAAAGAGTAGAGCAAAGTAATCGTTAAAGCCGAATACACAAATTTATACTTGGTGTATCAATGATACATTACAATGAAATGGAAGATCAGAGATTAAGAGGATATCGACTTTTTTTTAATTACAAGCAATATTACTATTTTATGGTAAGAAGAGTAGTAGAAGAGGAACACCTATCAAGTTTGCTAACCCATATAAGGCATTCACGAACGAGGAATAAAGAAACTTTAAGAAAGCTAAGCTATTAACACGTAACGATGAAGACGATAAAAATATTTACTGTTTCGTTTGAAAACAAACAGCTTCTTGTAGTAATGATACAATAGATTTTATATATGTTTGAAAAAAGAAAGAATAAATAAGCTCAGTTCGATGCATTTGGAAGTAATTTATGTACTTCATGGTATCCAATAAATAGAAAGCTATTATATATCGTTGATTTATTTTTAACTCATTCCCCGAGTACTTGTACTTAGTTATGATGGTTAGTGATACTATTCAGTCGCCCTAACCGAAGTAGATTGAGCGGGACCGAGTGGATGAAAGCTGAATACCTTAACCACTGAGCAACTGCCCCACTAATATATATATATACTGACTATTCATTGTCCAAATATCTTCAAAAGTAAACAATTTTCATAAACCACTCATTCAGATATGCATATGTGAGTCAAATGAAGTAAGACGTTTGTGAGAAAACCAATATCACAACCATTACTACTATTCACTTATTTATAAACTATTTGAATAAGTTTACTTCTAGTGGTATCTTCGGATAAAAAAACTATTGATTAGAAGATATAATATGCACAATGCAGGTTTATACACATGTTTAGTGAATTCATTAGTGATTAATAAAATAATAAAGCTAATCACTGAAGAAAGAAGTGTTTTGAATGACCACAACTTTTTTGAGAGTAAATCTATAACCTAACTTTTAGATATAAAATAAACCAATACTTTAGGTTGCTACAAAAGTGTTTCTTTATTAGTTAAAATATTAGTCAATCAGTGTTAATAACATAAACATTGTTTGACTAAGGGATTGGTTAAAATTGTAGGTGGTATTAGCCACAGATTAACTTTATTTAGAGAAGTTTGGAAAATCAAAGAGTACTGGACAAGCATTTCGACTTTGCATGAACTCAACAATGCGCCCAGATGAAGCGATCATGGTTCAAATCTAAGGACCCCAAGTCTTGGAGACGAGCATATTACCTTGAGATCATTGGATTGCCGGAACCCTCGATAATCTTCTCACTTGCAACTTCAGTTGATTCATGAATTAGCATTGACTACCCAATATTATTGTTATTGTTGCATTATTATTATTATTATTATTATTAGTTTGTACTAAAACTGAGGCGGCATTAAAATTCCTAGAAATGAGATCACTACAAATCATTTATCAATATATTAAGCGCATTATGTTAAATCAAACATAGAAATAGCAATTTTAATAAATTCAGTTTTTGAAAAAATGTCAAGTATTTCACCGATAGTTTTTTTAGAATTGCATTTTACACAGGAAAAGTATAATAAAATTCTATTAATCAACATCATTAACAGTAAATAGTAAGGTGAGCTTTTTTCTTTGCATACCTAAGGAGTTTGACGTAGAGTGTAATGGATGAATCAAAAAATTTAATCTTCATTTTTAAAAAACAAAACAAATACAATAAGTGATTTAAAGTATGATTCAATCATCAAGAGAATATGCAAATAATTAACTGATATCCTATAACAGTCAAAACAATAGTTTGAAATAAATGTAGAAGTCACTTTAGAATTCATTAGCTAATGAACTATAATTATTCGGGGTCTGCAGACATAGTTGGACTGTTATACGTTGCATCACAAACTGATCGTAGTTAGACAACTGTCGAATACCGCAAAGCACTGGATAGCTGTTTCGTTCTAGTACGTGGTATCACAGCAGTGCGCATTCACAACTCTATCGGAGACCAAAACCGGGACCTTTGGTCTGGCGGTGAGCGCTTAACCTCTAGACACATTTCAAAATGAGAAGTTTAAACATGGAGTTAAGAAAAGTCAATGGGATAGAAGAATTAAATGAATACCTAAAAACATGTCAAGTTCTATATATATAGGATGACTTATTAAAGAAATAATGCGTATATTTTTACTCATTTTGATTTTGGGTAACATTACTTAACGTCTACAACTATCATATTTTTACCATCTTACAAAATTCAGAAAATAAGCCTATAGATTCTTACTAACAGTTAAAAAATAGATCAATTCGAATACAGTTCATTAGTGAACAAATACAGAAAACCAAAAACAGAAGCTTGAAGTAGATGAAAACTAATCTAATTATCTAAACTGATGAAGTTTAACTGCATCATTAAGTAAACTAGCTTAATTAACAAAAAATCTAGTCGATTCACCGTACGAAACTCAGGAAAAAAACGATGATAGAATACCTACAATTTTTTTCATTATATAATGTTAGCCTACATTCAAAGAAAGAAATTAAACAATCAGAAGTGATAGGGAGTACGTAAGTTAGTATCTTAAAATGTTGATTTGTTTTGAAACAAAACTACGTTAACCATTTACATCTGGATATTGGTCATACATAAACAGGATAAGATAAGACCGAATAAGAAAAAGTATTCAATCTATGAAATTTAAAATACCTAAGACCTAGAAAGAATAGTAACCAAGGTAGTTTCGTTTAGTTGTAGTCTAGTTAAAATGATAACTGAATAATAATAATAAATATATTTTTTGTTATATCCCAATGAGTAGAAAAATGTATTTGAAAGTAACGAGTCCAACCTTGGCATTGATACCGATAACCCAACATGTTTAGGTTTAAATACTGAGGAACAAGATTAAAACCACATTAACTGTGAGAACTCCATTACATTATTCACATATTGAATTTATGATAAATAGTAATCTATGATCTCAAGATATAGAAAAAAATTCTTATCTTTAAAATGGTAAGTTTGAATTTGTCAATCCCAAAAAAATAGATCATAACAAGGATGTAATTTCGTGAAAGAAATAACATTTAGTTTGAAATTGTAAACATTAAATAAACAAGAGAAATTTACCGTAACTTTTGAAGTGGACAAATTGAATGCCAAACAAATGGCTTCAATGACGTATCAACACCAATAATTCGAGCTTGCGGAAATCGATGGGAAAGCCAGTCCTATAAAATTTAAATAACAATACAATATTCATTATATTATTAGAATGATTCCTTCAGTATATGAGTTTTCGGTTAAATAGACAGGAAATTGTTGGTACAAAGAGATGCTAAAAATTGTTTATCGTTTTGTGAACCGAGTCTTCATTCTAGACAAGCTATTTGTTGTATTGACGATAGTCTTGATTTTCAGTTAGTTATTCATTGGTTATATTTCGTGAAATCTACTCTGTTAGATTTGTTTTATGAGCATCATTAGCACACTAGGAGGAGAGTGAGTGTATGCGTAAAAAGTCGAAAAATATGTATTTTATGTGTAGATAGGTTATTGATCGTCTATGTTTACAACCAATGGAAGGATAGATCAAGTTGAGGTGCAGACGCATTAAATCAGACTCTCATACACTTTTACATAGTAGGTTAGTCATTTAAATAACAGCAAGTAGGTAATAAAAACTTCAAAGGGCTTACTATATAAGCTTCCATTCATAACATACATAACAAAAACGCTTGTTTTTAAAGTAAACGTATAACTCGGTGTGGTAAATAAGCGTTAAATTGAAATGACAGATTGTGTGATGAAATATATATATATATATATATATATATATATATATATATATATATATATATACTTACTCTAGGCCAACATTTTGTATACTGAGTAGCATTGTTGGCAAGCATTGAATCATGCTGTCTCCAAGTGTAGAAAACACTACCCAACATACCGTTCACAAAAATAATATCAAAATCATAATCTTCGTTGATATTGCTATAAATAGAAATAGAAAAATGAACAAAGGAGAGAAATCATAAACAAATTAGACGTGTCAAGGGTAAATAACTGAAATATCAACAGAGAAATTCTATATTCAATCGTCAATACTAACTGAACAAAAAGAATGACAGAATCGTATGTCGTTTATTTAGCCCATATCTTGACTGTTTTACAACTTTTTTGTAGCTGTTACCAGAATTCAGTTTTCAAACCATTAGAAAGAAAAACAGAATTGAAGAGTAAACTAATTAGCACTAAGTATAAAAGTTCTCTATAGATTAAACTTTTCGAAAATCTATGAATATTAGAAACATCAATAAATTTATTTAGAACAGGAATGAGATCTTTCTCTTATAATCAACAAACGAGTTATTGGAAAATTTATCGGTATGAAAATGTTAATAACATGGAATAATCATTTTAATACTATCTCTTAATATCTTACATAGATCATTTTAGTGAATCAGTAAATCTCAACTGGATCACTGTATAATGCAAAGCTATAGTGGAAGTATGTTGCATAAAATAAGTGATGACCACTAAGTTTTATATACGATTCGATTTTTCAGATCAAAATATATTAAACAGGTGGTTGAATATGTATTAACTATTTAGATTTAAGGATATTCTTCATTATATTTTCACAAGTGATCACAAGATATCACATGGAATGTACACTGCAGTAAATACCTTCAGCGACTTTGATAAAGTAAACCTGATATTTAGCAAATACCAATGCCAGTGATATAAATATTATATTTACTTATTTGAACACATAAACATCGGTATAAGAGGGCACTAAATACAAATGCGCCACAAAATAACAATGCGACCAGCAGTAATTATAATTGATTTGTGTTAACTGTGATACTACCCGGGTGCCCAGACTGAAGCAGGTGCTTTTCTTAGGGGGCCACACCCCGAGCTCCCGACCTGAAGGTTTAGTCCACAAGGCAGTGGAGCAACGCTAGGAGATGCAGTCTCATTGTATCCGATGACCACCAATAGGTTCATAAGCCATTTGTTTCATCAGGATCCTGGAGCCCATGTGTACGATTGGTTTGAAGTTAGGGTTTTCCAGCTCCTCTAGTTGGATTCTCTGTGTCCACCAACCTGGTTAAAGCGTCGAGTATTCGACTTTCATCCTCTCAATTTCGTAAACAACGCTACCACCCCGAGAAAGTAATGAGTAAGACTTCCCTGGTAATGGTTGTATACGCGTGGCCACGTGAGGGCGTTTCGAGAGGGAGAGAGAACCCTTTCCACCCTCGGCCGTACCAGGGCATATGGGAGCAGTGATATAAATAAATCACTTATTACACCGAAATTAGAAAAATGTCAAGGTGATTCGGTAAAGACTAACGGACCAAGGTTACAGGTTAGTTATGTTTGGAAATCTAAAATTGGCGTTAGCACCTAGGAGTAATGATAAGCACAGTCAAGTGAGTGAATGCTATGTAGACCCATAAAAATAAATACTTATGAAGTTTTTTTACTTTAAAGATCCAGAATGTTTACTTTAATCCTAGACATTTTTATAGATCATGATGCCTATTCTTCCATCTTTGCAATTTGATCAATTTTCAACATTTTATTAATTACATTTTGGTAGTAGAGTGATTTGCAGTACTTGTACGGACAGATATAAATAGTATGTATCAGGAATTGAAAGTAGAATTCTTACGGACAGAAATGGAAAATGGAAAGAGGAGAAAGAAAAACGGAAAGCAATCGAAATAACAACAAGAATAAAAGAATGATGGAGTTTGTAAAGGATAACTCAAGGAAGATGGGCAAATAGTGCATTTAATGTATTCTTTTCATATTTTACAAATACACTATGATTCCGAATAATATAATAAATTGGTTTACCATAACTGAATCTTCGTTCATTACAGTAGTTTAATTGGCTTTAACGTGGTACAAGATCTCCGTGACTGGACTTTAAATTTGGCCCAAAACTCCAATAGCCACTAACATAAATCTAATTGGTTAGTTAGTACAGTATATTATTACCAATATCACTCTTAAGAAACAAATACTGAATGAAGATAATTTTAACAACAGGAAAAAACTTTCATATTATTCGAATCAAAATGTTTACGAGAGAAATAAAAATGTTGATCAGATGAAAAACTTATTGATCGATAACTAACATCATGCGTATAAAGGAAGTATATAACATTTCATTGAAGTAAGCTAACAAATATTTACATGGCATAACCACCACTACTTATATGGAGTAAAACTATGCAACAATCGGATCATGCTTAACTATGTCATATCCAATAATGAGAACATATCAATGAAAAATGTGCAGAATAGATGGAATTGTACAACGAAAGTGTAAATTAGTCATTAAATAGGCTTATAAGGGAAGCAAACATTTGATGTGTGTGTTTTCGTGAAAAACGTAGTAGAATCTTGTAAGAACAAGCTTATTGTAATGAAACGACATCGTAATTTAGGGGAAAATGTGCAAACATATATTGATCTTGATAGAATGGAGAAAAGTAGTCAAACTTTATTATGTAAAATTAAACTTTTAAGAAATTATTAGCCGAAATAAGGAGATAGGTTTGATAAATATTAACCGAAGTAAGCTCGGTAATATTTATTATCTATTTGTAAATATTCGCCAAGTTATACTCCTAACATGATCAATTTAAAATTGTGTTTGTTGCTAATTCATCAGTCAGGTACATATTCGTATACATGGCTTTGAGCCATAAATTGCATTGAGGAATTAGTTGAATCATTATGTTTTAAATGATTTTGTAATTGAATGGCATAGTGTGTTTTGTAGTATGTGCTACTGATTTCGACAGATATAAGTCGTATGTATCATCAATCGTAAGTGAAATGTCTGGAGGCAGAAGGCTAAGAAGACGGATGAAAAGAGAACGAGAACAGAGAGTGATTGGTGTGGAAACGAAGGAACAGTCAAGTTACAGACAATCGATTGACGTTTGGCAAATGAAGAGTTTACTGCATGGATAATCAGATTTTACTAAGAGTTTCTGTAAATTTGTGTACAAACACATTTGATTGTCCCCACTAGTGTTTTCGTTCACTACATTATATTTATGATTAAATAAGAGGTCATTCAATTTCACATTCCTATGTACTGATAACAGACACTGTATAAAAACAATATGCAAAATATGTATATGATATTGATCACAGATTGACCATATTTAAGGTAAATAAAATGAGGTCAATAAATGACAAACACCAGCTACTAATGAAGTAAAATAAATCTTTACCAAACCCCTCCAACAAAACTATGCAGAATAATTAAACACGACAATCAAACAAGATAAACATTTTTATGTAAACTCACTTGGAATCATTTAAGTTATAAACATCTGGACAGTAGATAGGGTATGAATTGAGCGAATCAGAACATGAACTGTCAATTATTTTAGAATGAATTTTTAAATTATGATCAATCTTGGAACCAAAAAGATTTAAATGCAAACTTGTAGAAACTTTCCAGAGGCTGATTAATTTATTGATATCTGATAAAAGTAACAAGAAGATATGATCTTGGTTAATGCGTTGCAAGGAAATGTAATTCTTTGTTTGTGACACTTTTCTATCAGGAATAGACTACATTTACCTAAGTATTGTTTAATGAACATAAATATTTTGCACAAAAAATTTGGATATTTTGAATAATAACAAATAAATAAGATTACCATTGAATTAAAACACAAACGAATACAGTTATGTTATACGTAGTAGATAATTTATATTGGCATTAAAAAGGCAATGTGAAAAACGTTTCTTTCCAAAGTCTCAAGGTAACAGATACATCTCTACAACAATTCTCGTGTTTGCCAGTTATATATTTGTGTTACCTACTACTCCATAGTTTCTTTTTAATTTAAGGGATTTTAAATAAACAGTGCTGAGTAGCTAAAACTAGAGAGAAACAGCTACTTAATAATTTTTGGTTTTCTATGGTTCACCAACTGGTGCCAGTAGTCCGTGATGACAAGGAGACTTCATGCACAATCTGTTCAAGATTGCTTCAGTGATATACTGAGGAAAGCATTCGTAAGATCAATAATCCACTGGGTGGGTAAATGATATTCAGCCACCGATATAATCAGTTATTGATAATTGAACATAATTAAGCCATTCACAATGAGGTTTGACAGATAATCTTTAAATGACTTTCAAAATATTTAATGAATTCAATATATTTATGTTTTTATTCCTATGGTCTATATGAATTCGTATAGAAGAATAAATAAAGAAGACTACTCTGAGAGTATCAAGTAGTGTGTAAACATCTTTGTTCACCCACCATATTAACCTGTAGCTTCAACATGATGCACATAATTCACAAAGGTTACTATCAAATGCGAGGATGGGATCATACAGTAAACAAGTTTGTGAGGATGATAAATTCAACTGGGAAAAAAACACTCAATTGCTTGTGAAAATATCAACACTGGGGTGCAGGTACATTCAGCTAACTAGCCTTAAGTAGGACGAAACGATAGTCTTGGATTGCACTGTTAAATATATATACATCAATTCCATAAGAACTTTTGACTCATAAAAACTAAGCTTTATTATGTGCTAACAAGTTTTCATCAAGTATAATAGGAAGACCATAGAAAATGTCCCTACAATTTTACAATAAAGAAATATTTCAATTAGGTATACAGATTTAAAGATAGACGAAATGTAAAGGGTATTGCTGGACAATAAAAAGATTTTAGCAAAGTAAACAACATGTCCATATTCTCTAATCGAATTGAGTGATTATTCTTCTTCACAAAACACAATCCTTAACTGGGTAGATAACTGACAATTTTTTATGAGAAAATCGAAAACAAAACATTATGTACATTAAAACAGAAATTCACATTTAATATTCAAAACTGAGAAAACAAGCCAATGAAAAAAATACTTGTATTTACTCTGTGTATTTATGAATTATAATCATAACTGATTGTGTGACGCATAAACATTGGACTTAAGGTAAACAATCACTGTCGATTGATCAATATAACTTAGCACAAAGGTTATTCTTCATTTAAATCGATTCGATTGTAAGATAAACTACCATGATTTCAAGGTTGTTCACTTAAATAGTTGACCTACTTGTATACAAAAAGTAACAACACTAAAATGTTCACCATTACTTAATTTTCGTTAAAAATCTTTAAAACAACAGTAAACTTTGTTAAGGTTGGATGATTTTGAGGAAACCATTTGTATATTGTGACTTAAAGCTAAAAACCGATATACAACCAATGAACACTACATAGATACTGTCATCTGCTTTTGTAACCTCAAGTGGTGTCCGTCAAGGTTGTCCACTTTCTCCATTTTTGTTTAACTTCATCATAGACATACTGATGGAAATAACATTATCGTCGACTGAATTCTCGGGTATTGACCTCCTTCCATGCGGTCCACTTAACGACTTGGAATACGCAGATGATATAGTCCTGTTTGGTGAAGACGCCTATAAAATGCAGTCTTTTGGTAGCACTAAGCAACAATGCCAGAATGTTTGGAATGCGCTTCTCTCCCTCTAAATGCAAGTTGTTGCTTCAGGACTGGTCTGCGTTAACACCTGAACTAAGGATAGGGTGTGAAGTGGCCGAACACGTCGACAACTTCACTTATCTTGGAAGTCTGATCAGCCCTAATGGGTTGGTGTCTGACGAAATCTCAGCACGGATTCAGAGAGTTCGTTTGGTTTTTACCGACTTACGTCACCTATGGCGAAGGCGAGATATCCGTCTATCAATAAAAGGACGAGTATACTGAGCGGCAGTCCGTTATGTTTTAGTGTACGGCAGCGAAACATGGCCATTAAGAGTTGAAGACACTCGTAATCTACTAGTATTTGAACACAGATGCCTTAGAAATATTGCTGGCGTCTGCTGGGATCACCGGGTAAGTAATAGTGAGGTTAGACGCAGGGTATTAGGGAATGATGGTAAATCAGTTGATGAGGTTGTGAATCTTCATCGACTGAGATGGTTGGGCCACGTGTTACGTATGTCCGAACACCGATTACCACGACGTGCGATGCTGTCCGGTATTGGAAATGGTTGGAAGAAAATTAGGGGTGGCCAAACCAAAACGTGGCATCAATGCTTGAAGTCACTAACTTGTAGTCTGAGCCATGTTTATAGATGCAGACTACTTGGTTGGGGTCCGTGTGACTATCGTTGGAGACTCTTGGTGACATGGCTCAGAATCGATCACAATGGCGTCGGTGTATACACTCTCTGTCTTCCCTTAAACTATGAGATTAAAATCACTTCATATCTTTCTTTCTACGAACTAATTCTTTCTTCCTGTACTATATTCTTATATGCAATATTTCTTTTAAATATTGCCACCTCTGAATTAACTACTTTTATGAATCCGGTGTCCATCTTGTTATGTTAATGAGGTATGGCAACTTGGATCGATGCATATATGTGCCTGGTCCTACGTCGTAGCTGACTGACACCACATAGATATTGTAATTTACAAAACAGAGAATTGTGAGTGTGTAATGCTGTAATGTCCCAAATTATAACAATGAAAACTGTTCAGTGCTGTTACCTGACATTCTCTCATTCATTCTCTCTAGATGATATTATTTTGTGACGAACTTAATCTTCAAAATAAATAAACCTTATTGGGTAACAACAAATGGAAGAAAACACACTAAAATGATATTTCATTTACCTTCATAATTGTTTAAAACGGAACTTGATGGATGCTGTGAGATGTTTGCTAAAAAATTAGCGACTAAAAGATGAATAGGATATTCTAGATGAACATCAGGCAAGTTATTTACTTTTGCAAATGATGAATCCGTATTACTATTATTATCATCACAATAATATGATTCATTTGTCCATTGATCCACATTAAATAAGAGTTGATTTACTGATGGTGAAGAATGATGTTTATCAATAAGTAGTGTATTATTGTTATCTGAATTGTTTAATGCTGAAAGACTGATTGAACTAAGCCAATTGATTAGACGTTCAAAATTTTCACATTGGAATAAGTGATCCAAATACCTAAGATCCTTAAGTGATTACAAAAATTAAAAGAAAACGGAATAAAAGGGAATTCAATGTTGTGAAAACGACGTGAGATTGTGAACTATAAGATAAAATAACGACTTTAAAATATATATAACAAGAATTATTCAAATGACTTTGTGATATGTAATTTATTCAAATAGTGTTCCAAAAGCACAAACTCAAGTAAACATGAATGAATAGAAATGACGACAAAGAATCGATATCTCTAGGCTAAAACTATACATAAAGAACAGGTGGTAAATAGAAAGATTGAACTGTAACAACAACATATACAACTGACGTCAATAGTTTTGTTTTCTTTTTCTGCTGAAACTATATCTGATTTCAGGATAGCGAAGGAATTTAATTATTATGGAGACGGCTCAATGACTCAATATTGACAATGTTAACAATCTAATAAAAAAATCAAGTGATATATAAATGTAGAATAGATGGAATGTAGCTAACAGTAAAATCTAGGACGCACGTTTCGTCCTATCTGGGACTTGTCAGCTGGAGGTACTTAAACCCCAGGTTCTTGTAGTAAACAACTAATTTTCAACCGCGAATTCAATAACGTGAACGAGAACATCATTATCCCCTTTTCCCCTGTCCCGCTAATTAGAGTAATAAGTTCGGTTTCTTAACAGAAGCTTTGTTGGTGGTGATCCCAGTATAATTGAAAATACATCTAAGTTAATGGGTTATATATTAATGATGATTTATGAACTGAATAATAGTCAGTAAAAATAAATTGTGAAAATTCACTGAAGTAATGTGACGAAAATGTGTTCAACGTTGACCTTACTTTCACCTGAAATCGATATTGTTCTTCTTCCTCATAGGTTGTATCTGGTGTTACCACATCCCTAATATACATAAAAAGGATTGTTATGCAAAAACTAAATGAATATGCCTATGTTAACGTAATCATGACTCTTCGGACTAGCTCCCATCAGGCAATGATGCCATCGTTAAGATCACATAGTGTATGGTATCATAGAGAAATGAGAAATAACCTGGGAAGCATACGTTTGTAATATAGTAAATTTAGGATATGCTCGAAAAAATATTATTTTCTTTCAAATAATAAAAACTAGAACAATCAAGCTTATCAGACATTATCATGGTTTAAAAATTACTATGACGAAATAGTAACGACCACCTCCGTTACGTAATGCTCAATATCCAAGTATTTCATTAGGGCTAGATACATATTAGCAGTTGGAATTCTAATACTGAAACCACTCCATCAAAAGAATCCACTCACTGATGTAAAAGTCATCTATTACTATTCATTCTGTAGAAGTAACGGAGTTAAGACTACGGACAAACGAATTTTCAAAATATGAATAAGCTGCACCAAAAATAAATACATCTTATCAAGAGCTTACCTTGCTGTATGAAATCAAAAGATGTAATATATAGTCTGTAGTGAGTTTTGGATCTTTGCTGAAAGACAATAAACGACTTCGTTTACGAGGAGTACTGTAAATATTACTGGTAGTAATTCCAGCCTAAAATGATTAAGCAGTAAAATTCAATGCAACAGATATAATGCAAATTTAATAACAGGAGAAATATATAGTCACGTGTTAAAAAAGTCCAATTCAAACATTAAGAGACGTCAGAACTTTATCAGTAAATAAAAGATACGGAAGTCATCAAATTCTGTGCAGTCAAATCTCCTTTTACTGATAACAATAATTTTCATTCATTTCAGTCGATGTTTAAATACACTTACATTGTGAGTGAACAAAAACACTACGCTGTAAGTACTATGACAGTTCAGGGGTATGGTATTTTAATGTATCAATCGATTTATCTATCTTGAAGTGAAAAGTCATGTTCAATCCTTTATTCACCTATGGTCTTAACGCCCGTTCGAATTTTACGAACTGCAAATGATAATTTATTACATTCTTTTTTAAGTAGACAGTTGTCACTAGCATTTATTCAATAGATTATTACTTCTTGTGACTTTAGAAACTATAGCATGATGTAAGCTTTTGGTGATTTTTGATTACTTTACTGAATGATGCAACCTTTTTTACTCAATAATCGAAAAACTTAGTTATACTGTATATTATATTATATTATATTTAATACTTGAGGTCTTGATAATCTTGACTATACTATGCAAAATCACTTCATTTTCACTGACTTTCACTTGAATAGGCTTGACTACCTTAGATAATTTTGCAAATCTCCTCTATTTTACCAGACTACTACATGTAAAAATAATCACGTATAAATACGAGTTTATAGCTTCAGAAAATAACACCGTCGAAAGGAAACTTTTCTCTCAAACACCACTCTTCTTAATGAATCAATAGACTTCCTTCGTTTTTCTTAAGCAATTTATTGATGAGATTATCAATGACTAAATCTAAACACTAATAATGAGAAGAAAACTCAAATACAAATGTTAACACCAAAGAGATGTTTGTTCTACCGATTCAGAATGGAATGTCAAAAATATGTTGAAGGCATTAGAAAGAATTTCTCAAATCATTGAAAAGTATCTCCTTCAAAGAAATATATTTTGGCTGTATATTTGTGAATGCAAGTGATGGATTGTACAAAACTAAATTTCTAGCTGGGAACTTGACAAATCTAGGTTTTAAGAAGGAACCAGTTTTTGTCAAACAGGAACAATGAATGCATTGCAGCAATCATTTACATACTTAAGATGTCTTTATATATGAAGTTTATCGATACAACTGTAAAGTGAAAATCAAGTGGTGCAGTGGCGAATTAATTCAAGTATATAAGTGATTATTATAACAGAAATTTATTCACATGAAATATTAGAAACTATGGTCTAAAAATAATAGTCGTCTTTGAACAATCCAATGTGAGATTATAAATTTTAACTATATTTTGCCTGGATTGACCTAAGCAATTTACAGTTTACAATGTATAAAATAAACAGTAGTATGTGAACAGTAATCCCATGTATGTTGAGGAAAAAAATAGACATATACCATGATTTACATAGAATAGATTAATTATAGCTAGCAGTGGTGGTATATAGGATATATGTATAGCTATATTTACTACTGGTCAGCTCCATGTACCTAGAACCCAACATGTACTGACGTTCATATTAGGACCACAATCCCACTTATTTTTTTCATTTTAAACAAACAGATCATTCAAGTTGTTTCAAACAAACAATTTCCGAAAATGAAATTTCTACTTTTTTAAGAGCGAATCATCATAAGTCACTTAGCATGTGAACAAATAAATCACAGTACTAAAGTTATAATAATAGTAATAGTAATAATAATGATAGCAATAACAATGAACAGTAGTAATTACCTTGACACTTAAATCACATATCATTTTATAAAATAAACCCAGTTCATCTGAATGAGTGATTTTATTGAATTCACTACATGGATTTGTTGAAGTGACATCGTCAGCGTCTGTAGACACAGCAGTAGCAACATTAACATCACTATTATGCTTTACATGATGAATTAAATTATACAGTGCATTCATACTATTGCGAATTATGACACTACCCTTCAAAAGTGATAAAGATGGCTATCCCGTATCGATGGAAGTTGGGGGAGGGAGTGAAGAACAAAATTTAGAGAAAAACAGGAATTAATTAAATATATATCATATACTAGTCAAAATACATGAAATCATAACACTAATGACCTGATGATATAATTCAAAGAAATTGGTTATCACTTATCTGAAAGCAAAATCATCCATTTTAATATCTGCATAATTATAAAATCGATGACCAAAACATTTGAGCCAGACATTATATTGATCACTTTTAGTGACCACTTCCAATGACAGTGAAATACAACATGTTATATAATCACTCTTTAAACAAAAATAAGTTTTGCTGACATTATTAAAATTAATGAAGTTCACAATTAATAAAATCATGTTGTTTCCCGTATTTATTTTTGATATTATGAATGGATGAAATTTAAAGTTCAATCACTCAGTCACACAGAACAAAGGCTATTGCGCAAAATGTATATCTTATTTATTTATTTATTATTTATTTGAACACATGAATATTGGTACAGGAGAGCGCCAATATATATGCGCCACACAAAACAATGAAAATTCGAAGAGAAGTAGAAAAAAACAACTAAGGAGCGCAAAAGAAAAAGAACAATAACGAAGAGATTGGTGTAAGGTAGTGTGGTAGTAATGGGGGAACGAAAAAGGTAGAATCAGAAGAAATCTTTCAGGTAAGGGAGACACAACCACTTTTTATGAAGAAAGTAAAAGAAGGTTACAGCAGGATCGCCACTGGCTTCTATTCTGAGCCATATCTGATAACGTCTCTAGCCACTGTGTGGCACCATCTCTCAGACCCCAACCAGGGAGTCGTGAAGGACCGACAGAAGCCAGTCCTTTGCAGCTTTTTTTCATACCACGACACCATGTCATGCACTGACCACCTCTCCGCTTCTTCTAACCAGTCCCAGAGTCGGCAAATAATGCACGACGTGGAATTCTCTGGGACGACATTCGTAGAACATGTCCAAGCCACCGAAGTCGGTGTTTCAAGATGGTGACACCAATTGAATTATCATCTCTGTGCCCGAACACACGATGCCGAACCTCTGCATTACTGACATGGTGTTGCCACTGAATGTCAGCAATCCTTCGGAGACAGCGATGATCGAACACAGAGAGTCGTCTAACGTCCTCAACTCGGAGAGGCCAGGTTTCACAAGCATAGAGCAAAACTGCTCTCACCGACGAGTTGTAGATCCGACCTTTTACAGCCAGACTAACATCAGGAAGGCGCCAAAGGTGGCCCAGATTGGCATAAGCCGCTCTGGCTTTCACTATTCGTGCATTGATCTCATCACTCACACCCCCACCAGCACTTATGCAGCTACCCAGATACACGAACTTCTCAACTACGTCTATCTGCTCACCATCCAGGGTGGAATCCTGCCAGTCTTGTTGAAGTACTTTGCACTTCGAAGGTGCAAAGCACATACCATACGTACGGACACTGATTGCCAACTGATTAAGTGCGGATTGCATGCCTTGGGCATTATCACACAGTAAGACAATATCATCTGCATACTCAAGGTCGAGAAGTCTTTCTCCAGGCAACAGATCCACACCACCATTACTTACATTCATCAGAGCTGTTTCCAGAATGTCATCGATGGCAAAGTTGAAGAGGAATGGTGAGATTGGGCAACCCTGTCTAATCCCATTGCTCGAATGGAACAATGGAGAGAGGTGGTTGTATGCCCTCACTCTACCTGAGGTGTTTGTATATAGGGCTTTTAGGATGCTAATAAACTCAGGCACACCCTTTTTTAATAGACAATCCCAGAGAACAGCCCTGTCTAACAAATGGAAAGCAGCCCTGATGTCAAGAAACAATACGATTGTTGGCCTTTGATAAGTATGGCGGTGTTCTAACATTTGGCGGAGGGTGAAGATATGATCAATACATCCTCGACCGGAACGAAACCCAGCCTGCTCCTCGCGAGTCAATCTTTCTCGGGTTTTGAACAACCTACGAAGTATGACGGAAGCCAATAGCTTGGACGCAATCGGAAGTAGACTTATCACCCGATAGTTGTTACAGGAACGACGTGAACCCTTTTTAAAGATAGGGACAACTATCGACTCATTCCATGACGTTGGTACACTCTCTAGTTCCCAAACCTTTGTAAACAACGTCGTCAATTCCTTAGTCAAAAAGTCACCACCATCTTTAAAAAGAGCCGGAGGTAAGTCATCTGGGCCAGGTGATTTGTAACGCTTCAAGAGTTGGAGTTCCTTGCGGACTTCCTCCTCGTTTGGTGGATCAGTCGTCACCGGCCATGGAGGGCAGGACAGTCTGACCGATGTTGCCGGAGCAGCAGGCCAGTTGAACTGCCCTTCGAAAAATTCTGCCCACCGTCCAAGACGTCGATGGATGTTAGTGATTGGCATCCCATCATCCTCGCAGATTGTTTCACTCACACCAGACTTCTTGCTGCCAGTGGCTCGGATGAGCTGGAAGAGCTTCCGGTAGTTACCAGATGCAGCTGCTGCTTCCAGCTCATTAGCACGCTCCGACCACCAGGCTTCTCGGTCCTTACGCAAGCTTTGCCCAATTTCCTTACGTAACATCCTTCGTTTATGGTCAAACTCACGGTCACCCGGAGTAGACCGACGGGCTTCAATGAGTTGTAAGGAACCTGAAGAAACCCAGTGCTTAAAAGCGGGACGTTTCGCAAACCCACAACTGACTGTTCCCGCCATTTTCATGGCGTCATGCAATTGCAACCAATGCTCATCTATACTTTTCGGTGGAATGGTAGCTAGCTTAGAGGCTAGCTCGGTTCGATACTTACTTGCAACAGAAGTTGCAACCAGCTTGCTAACATCAATCCGTTGATGGCGTTCACTTCGTTGTCCACTGAAAAGTAAGGCAAGATTGGCGCAGACCAAGGCATGGTCAGAGTCCAGATAGGTACTCCAAAAGGAGCGGCAGTCTTGTACACAACCACGCCAGCGGTAGCTGATCGCGATGTGATCAATCTGAGTCCAGGCTTGAGATGCAGAGGGAGGACGCCAGGTGGCACATCAACGATGACCGTGCCGAAAGTTAGTGCTAGCCAGAAACAGGTTGTGGTCTGTGCAAAGTTGCAGCAGACGGTCCCCGTTATCTGACCTGCGACCAACGAGTCCCCATCGGCCACCTAAACGACTCTCTTCTGTGCCTAGACGCCCGACCTGAGCATTCAAGTCTCCGGCTAGTACTACAATATCTGTCGAACGCACTTTCTGGAGAAGAACAGATAACTGGTGGTAAAACTCATCCTTGATTGCATCCGGGCTGCAATCTGTCGGGGCATAGGCGGAGATGACGAAAAGACATCGTTTCTCACGCCGATTTCTTCTCACTTTGATGGAACTTTCTAATCTAACAGCACATAACCGACTGTTAATGGGGATCCAATCGACTAGTGCTGCCTCAGCTCTAGCGCTTAGTGCGACACCAACGCCAACAAGACCAGACGAAGATGCCACAGGGTCCCCGGATAAGCGCACGTAAAACAAGCTTTTCGAAGCGACAGATGGAGATCGAATTTGTAGTACTTCGCCAGTCTTGAATACGGGTCTCGGATAGACAACAAACATCAATATTAAGACTTTCCAAAGACATAGCCAGCCCTATCTGTTGTCCGACCTGGATAAATGTGCGAACGTTGAAGGCAGCCAGTTTGAATGGTGCACGTGGTTTCAGAAAATCTGCTTCAGTTCTCGTATTCGGTGGTAACATACAATTTTCAACCGGACAGTGATTCGAGAACGTTTAGATACAGTCGAATTTCCACCAAAGACGAGCCGCTGTATAAGTATAAAAGAGGGTGAATAATGTGGTTAATAATAATAATAATAATAATAATAATAATAATAATAATAATAATAATAATAATAATAATAATAATGACAATAATAGTAATAATAATAATAGTATTAATAATGACAATAATTGTAATGATAATACTTTGAATCAATTGATTGTTTTTCGAAGCGAGAAAATTAATTTCCATAGACATAAAGAGTTCATCATTTGTGTGTGGGCTGTGATACTCCCCGGGTGCCCAAACCGAAGCAGGTGGTTATCTTAGGGGGCCACTCCCCGAGCCTTTGACCTAAAGGTCTAACCCACAAGGCAGTGGAGCATCGTAAGGAGATGCAATCCCATGGTAGCCGGTGACCAACGATTGGTTCATACGCCATTTGTTCCCGCAGGATACTGGAGCCCATGTGCACCATTGGTTTGGAATCCGGTTAAAGCGCCGGACATTCGCTTTTCGTCCTCATTTTCGTAAACAACACCCCCGCCACGAGAAGGCAATGAGTAGGACTTCCCTGGCAGAGGCTGTATACGCGTGGCCGTGTGAGAGTATTTCGAGACGGAGAGCGGACTCTCCCCACTCTCGGCCGTACCAGGGCATTCAGGGGCGAAATGTATATCGCTGTAAGTTGTTTCACCCAATTTGATTATGAGAGATAATACAAGTTTAAAAAAGACGTTGAATACAATTTGATTGTTCTGAAATCGATGAAAGATTAATATAGGATTCAGAAATGATTTTTCCAGTTGAACAACTGGCGATTGTATTATTAAAACCCAGTAATTACGATTCCGATGAATAAATATCTTAGACAATAATATTAGTCAACTAGATTTCCTTGTGAGTATGACAAGAGAATTTTCGTACAAACCATGAATTCACATGTTAAATACAACTCGATGATGAATAGAAAGGTAAACATTAGCGGTGCTCAAGGTGTGTGATCAGTCGACACCTTTACGTCCCTCTTATTGCAAAAACATATGTCTAATTTAGGTATCCTGAGAGGAAAATTGAACTAGTATTATTGGTTTCATCGACCTGAAAACATGAACATACATCCTAGTGACTAACTTTTCGGTATCAAAAACATATTTGCATCCAAAATTTCACAACGAGCACCGGAAATCTAGGGAATTAGCCAGAATGAATTATTGTTAAGCGTGAACATTCTCAATACTTCATTATATATTTGAAGCTCTCCAACCAACCTGCGTAGTATGGTAAAATCTGAAGGATCACGTCTTAATTCAATAGGGTTCAAACCCGATCACAGCGTTAAAACAATAGCTGCACGGAATTTATGTTATTATATAATAGAAAAATTTCCACATGTAAATGATATACAAGTTAAAAGAAATCTCACTAGATTTTGTTCGGAAGAATAATTGCCATAAGGTGTAGAAATTTCTGATTCATCACAATGTTCATACTTCCTTTTCTTATTATCAACAGTATTATGAATGTCTGAATCTCGTCTGGAAAACAGTCGTGTTTTTGCAAATACATATGCACTGAAAGTAAAAAAAAGAACAAAGGTACAGTGGTTTTATTTCCATTAATACAAATTACATTGAACGTGGGAGGTAAGTTAGATTTACGATTTTGTGTCACTCAACTCAACGTCTGAACGGATTATTGGTTTCAAGAGTTTGATAAAATTAAAAAAAGGAAAATTTTATTTTTTTCACTCTACACAAAAAAGTGTAAATAAATTAGTACAATTGAGTCACGTTATATGTTCATAAGGCAGTATCCCCAAAACAACGTGGAAAACAACTGAATCAAAGGAGGACTGAAAAGATGCTTTTCTTTGGCCGAATCGGTCTTAATATAGAATACCAAATGTTCAATACACCATTAAAATGTAGGCTAATATGCTTCCGATATCACATTCAATTGGATCTGTGTATTGACATGTACCTGAGGTAACAAGTATATGGGAATGACAGAGAAAAAGGTTTCTGCTAGATTGTCTGAACATGTCCCTATGATTCAGTATCTGAGAGGTAGTAAAATATTTACAAGTGCAATTACCGGGTGTCTTCTCGACAAAGGGCATAAAGTGGATATGCGTAGTACATCCAAAACAACTCACAGACAACCAACACTAACTTTATTCCATTTTGTGTCGACAATCGCTATTAAGGCGTTCCCGACCTAATTTATGTGTACAGAACGAAAGTGCGATAAACCCTCCTCTTCTATAGTAATTCAGTGTTTATTAAATAATCCTTTTATTGTTCCCATAATTATGTGATTAATTTTAATCATGTTTATTAAGTATGTAACTGTTTTTCATTACGCTTATGTAATCCCCTGTTATCTCCATTATGAATACTAGTAACTACAACATTACCCATTTAACTCGGAATTACTACTTTTCGACATATAAATACGTATCAACTTTAAGTTTATTCACATATTTTGTGTCATATTCAGGAAAATATGACAAGGACATTAAACACCCATAGATTCAATCCCTTACAATTTTTGTCAAGTAAGAAAATGTTAAAAATACTATCATGAATTTCATACTACGCGATGAGTTTCAGTAGAAAATTAAATTGTATTTTATGCTTGATGTCGATGTAACGACATCATTCACAATTAAAATTGTTAGCATTTTTTCAAGTTACTTCAGTTATGTTCTGAAAGTTGTAACGGCTAAAGAATATATACACATAAATTATGTCATCTGATGTTTTTACTGATAATTAAGAAAAAACCTACTTACAAAATCATAACATTCTTCTGTAAAAAGGAATATGCTAGTTAGAACTTCAATGTTTTAACGTAGAAAAAGGACACAACCTAAGAAGCATGATTCTGATTCCAATTGTTCTCATAATAACTTAATAGTTATGTCAATTGCAACGACTAATTTCAAAACTAAAACAACTTAACAGATATAACAAGTCCACACTATAATGACCAGTGATAAAGTAGAATAGTAGAGAAATGATTATTAACAATAAATACATTTCTTACCTCCATATTATACATAATGTTGATGTTGCTTTAACTGCTGTTAACGTAAAGAAAAAAATTAATTATGAGGGAGGAAAAAATAATTTACAAGATAATAACTTTATACACCATTTTATACCGTTTTTGTAGAAATTAATCTAAAACCATACAGTGATAAATCAAACAGAACTCTAGGTTATTTTAACCTTGTTCAACTTATGAAATCATCAATTCCTTAAAGTAATTGCTAAAAATTACTTACGCTATTAATTACATAACTATGCGATTAAAAAGACTACTTTTTAATATAAAATAACTAACCGAATAAGCATATTTGAGTAAATGACCCAATATCAGAGATAAATATGTAGGTTGACATAGGTGTTCACATCAAAAATGGTGCTGGCCAAAACACATCATAATGCACCGGACAGATAACACCGGATCACTCACTAGTCTGTTATCTACTAACCGTGAACTAAAATGTAGTCATACCTTGAAGGTCACTCCGTTCTGATTGGCTTAACAAGAGGCAACGAATAATCTTGCACAGAACAATCAACACACAGATTACTGTCAATAAACCAATCGCAAATTAGTGTTTTTATAACAGACTTAAGAGTTTACATCAGCTGACGTGAAAAACAACAAATCATAGGACGTTGACTTTAGGTATGTTGAAACACATAGCAGTGAAACATTCCGTTTATTTTTAGTAGTGAGAAGCATTTTTATTTGCATCAGGTTTCTGTTAGATTTAAATGACATTCAGAGATAATACAAAGTGAAATAAAAGTTGAGAAAACGGTAATAATTATTTGTACACAGTATAAATAAATGTTTCCAGGTCAGTATAAACTTATAATGTGCGAATAAATGTAAGAAACGCAAGTTCTTAATCATTTTACCTGCTTGATCAGCCATTTTTATCTAAGCAGATGTGTCAGAAAATAAATCAAATCTTGAGTGTAGTGAGATTAGTTGGTATTTGTAAATGGATACGAACAACGAAACAAGGTATATATGCACTTAACAAATGTCAAGTGTACAACATATCAGCGTTGTCTAGTTAAAAACGCTGAAATGTGACTATTAACGACAACAAGGGTCGTAGAAATGTATAACTGGTAATCTCATAGCGTTATTTTCTCTAGTAAAGGCCTTGTACTATGCCAAAAATGAACTCTAACTGAGCTCCGATTAGGTAAGTTTCGATAAAACCATTAGCTGACTTTGGTTTGGAACAATATATTTCTATTTAAAAGATGACACAAAACGTGGAAAAATACTCAAGTCAAAATAATCTTGAAGAAATTAACGACAGATTCAATCTAATAGTTAATAATGAAACAACCCTACTTATTAAAATCATAAGAGATCAAAGCAACTCTAATCTATTATGCGTTGATAAACATTAATCTATTGTCTAAAAGAGGCGTGCTTACACAAAATATTTATTCTATGGTAACAGTAACATTACGACACCTTCAAACCTTATATTTGTACTTACCAGTTATCAGACTCGGCATTCTAAATAACTAACTTCTATTTAGTCTGTAAAACAAAAGCGATAAGAGGAAGCTGTTAACAGGTAGAAGGATGTAAGACTGCAAGTGATATCGATAATTGACGAGTGACTCAGTCTAGTTCATAAATTGAATTGATAAAGTTAACTCATAGTATGGATGTGTCATTTGCCCGTAAATTAAATTGAGATGAAAAAAGTTATTGGTACTCTATAGGTCGGTCCTGATAGAAATTTGTCTTTTTCGGTTCGCTAAATGAACAAAGACGTGCTTCCATCAGTTATTTGTCATTTGAAAATCAAACATATGAAGAGATACTTGTCAACTCCAGAACAGTGGCTGCGTGCTTGTATGCAGTAATGCATAATATTGTAGCAAACAACGTGGAGAATCAGATGGAAGAATTTCTACGGAGATGACATCAATTCCAAATGTGGTAACTGTTTAACATAATTGATATCAAGTTTATAGGACTAGAAAATTCCCATATGAGCTAATGAAAAATCGAAACCAAACAGTTAAAGTACCCAGTATACAATTTGTGAGTGGTTGATTTTATAAAAGCTTCCGACCAAGTATGGGGATTGTTTAATTGAATTTAAATCATTGACCGATCCAAGCTAGACTATTACTGAAAACCTGGAACCATTAGATAACTTTCCTTTTAGTATGGGGATTAGTGAGTTTGATTTCACCTCGCGGGGTAGTAGATGTGCACTCCTGAAGAGCCCCATGCTAGGACGAGACGGCCATTTAGCGCTTCTAGGTTTACAACGGTGGTCTAGCTAAGGTCAGTCCATGATTTCAATGGTATATTTAGACTTCTGAATACTGATGAGGTGGAACGTGGGATTGAAATCTTTATCTCAGTCCCACCTGCCTTAAAGGTTCTGGCCAAAATACTGACATACTTGGTATGGGTATCAAATGTGATATTAGAAGAAACGTGAAGATCAAAGAGATTATCACTAGTTACAATTTTATTGGATAATTCAGCAGTTAATGTTCATTGAGTATAGATCTGCTTTTTTTAAATATACATATTACTATAACTGAGTAACTTCTTGTTTGCAAACACGAAAATTTCTAGGGCATATATGTATGAAATAACACGAATGTTTCACGCCTCTTAATTTTTTCGAGTATTCGAACACAATGGGAAAAATTTGCTAAAAAGTAAAATAAACACAATACATCACTTTTGGTAGGTTAGTTCTTGTCTTCCCCACTTCCATGTGATCGAGTAGTTGTTTATTAATCGCTTCGAACGAAATGAACCTTACAAGTGTGTGGACAGTTACATACTGTCATAATTAAAATTGTTGTTATAATATACTGGTCCATAACTATTACTATTATACTCACTTATTTTTCTGAGACGCAAAAGTTAAGTTGACCAATAAAGATGGAACAAATAAATAACTGCTTAATGTTATTTTTATACAAAAGACTGAATAGTGCACATATTCAGCCTTCAACACATTGAACCAATAGACGATTAGAATTATTGTTCAGTTAAAATTGTTTAACATAAAGTACAATAAATAAAATTCCTTAAAATGATCGAGTAAATAAAGATAGTCCTTCAGGTCTACTAATCACAAGCATTAGGTCAGTAAAACAAAAACTTGGATAAAACTGTTTTTATTTTTATTTGCATACAATAACATTAAACATCTGATGCAATTTGCATTATTGTTCGATAACTGACGAATACGAATTATGCTTCCATTGGTTGAATGTAAAACTGATCGAACTGAGCTGTCATTTGGATAGCTTGTGAATATAAATCGCTGTCAAACTTTGTACTTGCTTCCTGGGAGAAAACGACCGGTTCCGCTGTAGCATTGATTTCTGTACCTTGAACATTGCTTACGCGACCTTGCACTTCTATAACTCGATTTTCTGGAGAAGCCTATACAAGAACAAAAATTCAAAAGTAAAGGATGACATATGATTTTCAATTACCTCAAACAAGTCATATTGACCATAATGAAAGGATTTATGAACATTTATTAACAATAGTTGCAATTAACTATATATATATTCAGGAACTTGTACAGTGCAACTAATCACATAAGGCCTATTTAATCTGTGATGCTGACCGATTATTATTATAGTGACTTAATCTTCGAACTGAAGGCAACAGAAAACGAACTTACTATTTGGGATTGAAAAATTGGTTACCTGATATTTTTGATAGTGAAAAATAGGTTAAGTAATCAGCATATTAAATAACTGTGAAGTGATGATAACAGAACGAGAAAATGAGAATAAGAAACAAGATAATCAAAATTGGTTCAATCCAGAAGATTTGTTTACTTGGTATGAGTTTTTCTATTTGAAGGAGATAATAGTCATATATCATGATTCAATACATGCATGTATTTAAATACCATATAAACAAATTTAGCGCCTCTACATAGATGCATGGCAATATAAGACGTGTGGACACATCTGTATGAGTATAAACAATGCATTACATCTGAAGTATTACACTGTAAACAGCATTTCATGTTAGTGTACATCGAATCAAACAAACATGGAACTGTGCTATGGTATACTACCCCAGTTCTAACAAGTGTAATAGGCTTTTTGTTCAATAGGATCACTAAAACAGTTTTGATGCATTAAAATACGCTACTGAGACCGGATCAATCAGGCAAATAAATGTTTCTTTACGATAATTTCACTTCCAAAAGGTGAAAAAACCGGATTTGATAAGAAAGAGTGGATGCAGTGAACAAGATTGTTCATCATCATGCATACAATGAATAAATCAGTCAATTAGTTTGATCCAGATAAACAATAAATTAAAAAAACCAAAAACAATATCACATGAGTTATTATTTATTATTAACTAACTAACAAGCTGGTTGTGAAATAAGGCCAGTGTTTATGTATTGAAGAAACACAATGTAACACTACGATATAGGATCCCATGTAGAGGTGGTAAATTAGTGTGTCAGACAATAGTAACCCATTAATTGCACATATTCGGTCCGAGAAATCAACGGGTACTTACTTTGTCAAAATACCACCGTAAAAGCTAAACTACAAAAGCTAACCATCAGTAGGATTTAAATGTACGGACTCAGTTTTTAAGAAGCATTAGTTTCAAAATGACATACGAATACCTGAAGAGGCGAGAGGAGATTGCAATTGATTTCCCGCCCATCTGCGCAGCGTATATGTATTCTTTGTCCTGAAGGGGCAACACGAAGAGCAGTCCCAACTATACATACATCGCGACCTACTAAATTAGGAAGCATTGAACCCGTAACACGGAATCGAGCTGTGGGCTTTTGATCAGAAGAATCCTAAAATAAAAAGTAGTTAGTAACGATAAACAAGAGCCAGCGATCAGAAAGAAGAAATGATGAACTAATTATATTTTAAGAGATTTGATTACATTACACAGCAAAACCAAGTTTTCTCAAACATTCTTTATGCTCCATGATCACATCTGCACACATTTCCTCGCCATACATTAGAACGCACTGATCACGCTTGAGACGTGTTTCTGGACATGCACAACAGGGTTTAAGAGGTTTTCCTTCGCTGTCCAAAATTATTTTTGGAGATTGATTGGGAGGGCTTTCTGTGTTTGATGACATTGTTTGAGAAAACCTACATTGATTAAAATAAAGCAAAAGGTGGTCTAAATACATGAACATTTGGACAATAAAAGACCAATACACTCAAAACTGAAAATTGGGATCGAAATAACGTACGAGTGAATAGTGTTAAAGAATATAAGCGGTATATTCACACTGACATTGAAATACCAGGACATAATTGGCGGATATTTTAAGTGAAACTTCTGTCACCAAACATTCTTCATTCTTGTTTCTATTTCTATAGTCCCAACGTAATCTGGCATTCTGGACCGCAATGTGATGATGGGAAGTAATGGATAGGAAATCCTAAACCCACGTTTTGCGCTGTTTGGCACGCATCAGTAAGGTGTACCTGTAATCTTGGGAGAACCGATGCTACCCGGAAGATTCTATGCCTTGTTACCCAGCTTCACCGTCAGAGACGTTACTACTGAGCTATCCGACCCGTATCTGACCTGCTGTAGAAATGAAATGTATTTACAATTGATTGATCATTGGTTAGTGACCGATGTCATATGTTTCACGTCCTTCTTAGTTCAGGTTGGATTCTATCGACCAAGTTGAAATGTGGCCACTAGTTAACTAGAAATCGTATTTCGAATCTACTAAAACCGTCACTAACGGCACTTAACGTACAGACAACGTTGAATTTAGAAGGGAACTTCAAAAACAGAAAATAAACATCCTGGTTTCGGATTCGGTTTTCGGCAAGGAATAAAGTTATCAGTAAACAGAAGCATATGATTTTCATCTGACTGAACCATATTTTGACGTGACTAGCCCCTGCCAAATGAAACTATACTTTAGACTGCTAGCATAACGGTAATTATAGACGAATAACTTAGTTAAGTGGAAATGAAATATCATTTGTCCGTACATAAATGACTGTGACGACCAAAATAACAGGATCTTTCGACACTGACTTTAAACAATAACGCGTTACCCACTGAGTATAAATGGCCAGTAACTGTAACGATTTGTATCATCACGATACCGATCAATCGAAATTAAAATGCAATATCAAGTCAGTCCGCCCGAGGTCGATATAAGCTAAAAGATGTCAATTAGCCCTTGACGTATACAACAAGGAAACCAAAATCTTTACAAATACGACTATTTTGTTGAACTTATAGGCGTTCTACTGAAGAAGTTACTGTGGTTAACACTTTATTCTTTTGTTACTTGCATTCCATTCAACAAACCAGATATAGACTATAACCAGGACTCGAGTTATACCGCTAGTTGAGTAGATGAAATGAACTGGGAATGAGGATTAAGCAAATGAAGTAGCACTATCCTATGAGTCTTCGACAGAACCCGTAAAGAAAGCGTTTGCTTGCTTGATATTATCGGGGCAGAAGAATCCCAGAGATAAAAGCGTTTCGGTAGCCCAAAACCAAACATCTGATCAGTTTTCACTCCAAAGACTGATGGTATGACGTTTTCAGAAGGTACGAAACAAAGACTATACCGCTTAAACATGGACTTCCCTCTCAAGTGGAAAATTATTTAAATTCTCTACTGTTACATATCAGAACATTTTGTTGCTGATCTCAACTTCTTTTGAAATTTGACGCCAAATAGGAGAGTAACGTAAGTGACTAGTAAGTAAACTGAAGAGTTTCAATGAACTTTAGGTAAAATTAAGTTTAATTAGGGAGTAGTTAATCTACCAATGAAAAGGTGGAAAGAAATATATTTATAATGTACATAAGACTGACAAGTTTTGTGAATTACATGAAAGATATGAAACTTTAAACACTGAAATCTGGTTTCTTAGTCGTACACTTTGACTCTGAAATTTCCACGTTTACTAGCATAAACAATTCGGCGAGACTGTAATTTACGTACGGCCTTCAATAAGTAGTTACTATATATCGCAACTATTAATCCGTTTATTCCATGAAATTCCTATTATGTGCCATTTTTAACTAGGTACTATTTTATTTAGCCTATAATGCACTGGAAATTTTCGTTAAAGTACCGTAATATGTGGTAGGATGAAAAATCAACTCACAAGGTTGCGTTAACACTTAAAGCGCCCAGACTTTCTGCATGATTTCATTTCCAGTGCAAAATTCAGCAATTAATCCAATGTCTTTGTCACGAGCTTGTATAAACCAACTACTTTTTGACGCTATCCTCTTGTTGTTTCGGTAAGGTTTTGTTTGATTCGTAATGTCTAATGGGTGACAGTCTCACCACTCAAATTCGCAAATTATTGTCAGTTTGATAGCTATTTGTGGATTTGTACGTATTGTAGTTTGAGTTAATGCGCTCATCTCAAGGCAATATAAATTCTGTGTAGCGGTAAATAAATCCCCAAAATAAATAGCACTAAGTTTTCGACATTGGATGCTGACCATATGTTTTAGTGGACTCACCTAGCTGAAGGCGCTCGGTCAGGCATCCGCACCAGATCACGTGTGGTAACGCCGTGCTCAACATCAACCGCAATCGCTAGCCAGATTAGATCAGAGAATTCCGATATATTGGTCATCGCCAAATATACTCTTCCGATCTCCTCGACTCTGTCTTTTGATTTCTCTGGGCGGGAACGAAATATATTAGAAGGTGTTACTGGTAGAAGCGTTGTCAAACACTGAATACCTGTGACATCATCATTGGTGAAACCGACGTGATCTGGTACACCTAATTGCAACTGTGAGTCTGTTCCTTTTTGGGATTTTTATATATCATTGCCTTATTTTTTTAATTTTTTTAAACATTGTGATTTTTTTTCGTGTTTTTTCCTGGATATATATATTTTCCCCTTGTTCATTATCGTACTTCATACTTCATCATGACTGAACAGACACCTAAAGTACTCAAGATTAAGACTTTGTCCCCGCCTTCGTTTCAACTGATGCCTTTCTGGCCCGACAACATCGAAGCCTGGTTTTGCTACGCAGAAGCCGACTTCTCCGAGCACGGCGTGATCGACACACGTGCACAATTCCTCGCAGTAGTCAAGGCACTACCGCGCGAATTCAACAGGTACGTAACACCTAGTATGTTTACTAGTGATGTTTCCGATCCTTACGAAATCTTAAAACGCTCGATTCTTAAACGGGGAGACCTAACCGATCGACAAAGGTTAGATCAACTCTTCAACAATATCGACCTGCAACATAGTTCTGCGACAGACATGTTGCAACGGATGAGAGAGGTAATAGGCCCAAGAACTTTCGACGAAGGCCTATTCAAACAACTCTTCTTGTCAAAACTTCCCCAACAGGTGCAAGCAGTTCTGGTCTCGTTCCAGAACAATGCCTTAGACGAGCTAGCTGCATCTGCCGACCGCATATTAGAAATTACGAAATCTACTACCGAGGTATTTTCAGTCAAAGAAAAACCTCAAACGACTCAGAATGATATAAACGACTTATGTCACACACTCACGCGTTATCTTAGTCTTCGTCACGACCGTAAGAGATCGCGCACACCACGTAGAAGCATTTTTCGTAAGCGATCTGTCTCTAGACCACGAGAGACAGATAACCCCGACTGGTGCTGGTATCATAACCAGTATGGAAAGCTTTCCAGAAATTGCAGAAAACCCTGCAATTTTCCCAACACGAAACCGACTGATTCGAAAAGCAATTCGGGAAACTTCCAAGCCGGCACGCGTTAACGGCAACCGTAGCCGGCGAACAAAGCCGTCTGTTATTCGTCACAGATGTGACAACGACAGTTCGTTACCTCGTCGACACTGGCGCAGAAGTTAGCGTTCTCCCAGCAAATCCTAACGACCGACTACACGAATCGACCCTAAACTTACAGGCGGCAAACGGAAAACCGATCGCTACGTATGGCAAAAGGTACGTTTACCTTAACGTGGGTTTACGCAAACCCATCCACTGGATTTTCGTTGTTGCAGATGTTTCTATGCCAATCATTGGTATGGACCTTCTACAACACCACAATCTGATCATCGACACTCGCAAACGGAGGCTAGTAGACGGAAACACTAATTTATCCGTTTGCGTAACTTCTTTTACTGGTTGTAGAGTATCTCCAGTCACAGTTAAACATATGATAGACCCACTCTATCAACCACTACTCGATAAGTACCCTGGGATACAACAAACTCAACCGAAACTACCGTGTGTAACCAGCAATGTTACACATCACATCACGACTACAGGTCCACCTGTATTCTCTAAAACACGACGACTAGCTCCTGAACAGCTAAGGTTAGCGAAAAACGAATTCGATCACATGATGGACTTAGGAATCATACGACCGTCAAGTAGCCCATATGCATCTCCGTTGCACATGGTCCCTAAAAAGGACAGCAACGATTGGCGTCCAACTGGTGACTATCGGCGATTGAACGCGAAAACCATTCCCGATCGTTACCCGTTGCCTCACATTCACGATTTGACAGCTACCTTGAAAGGTACAACTGTCTTTTCGAAAATCGACTTGGTTAAAGCGTATAACCAAATCCCTATGGCTACTGACGACATACCGAAAACAGCTATCATAACTCCTTTCGGACTCTATGAATTTTTGCGAATGCCTTTCGGTCTAAGGAATGCTGCTCAAACATTCCAAAGATTCATAGACGACGTTTTTCGAGGTCTCAACTTCGTACACGCGTATGTTGATGACTGTTTAATCGCAAGTCCGGACAGAGAAACACATCTCAAGCATCTGGATCTTGTTTTCGAACGACTTCAAAAACATGGCATAACTGTAAACGTTCAGAAATGCCAATTCGGAACCGACTCGTTAGACTTCCTAGGACACACTATCGATGCTCAAGGCATTCGACCTCTTAGGACCAAAGTGGCGGCCATTCTGGATTACCCAGAACCGACCACCGTCAAGCAATTACGCACGTTTAACGGCCTGGTAAGTTTCTATAGACGTTTCATACCGAAATGCGCATTACTTATGAAACCTCTGACCGACCAACTTCGTGGAAATGCGAAATCCATTAATTTGGACGACACCGCACGAAAAGCATTCTCCACAGTTAAGGAACTGATTGCTAAAGCAACGATGCTCGCACATCAGGACACCCGAGCACCCATTAGCATCGCAGTAGACGCATCCGACTCAGCAATCGGAGGAGTCTTACAACAATGGGTTAACAACTCCTGGCAACCCTTGGCCTTTTTCTCTAGAAGGTTGCTAGACACCGAATCGAGGTACAGCACATTCGGTAGGGAACTCCTAGCTATGTATTGTGCTGTACGGCATTTCCAACACTACATCGAAGGTCGTGAATTCACTCTTTTCACGGACCATAAACCGCTCACTTTCTCGTTAAGCTCTCCTTCTGACAAGTACTCTCCCCGTGAGTCTCGACAACTGGACTACATTTCGCAGTTTACTTCAGATATTCAACACATCTCTGGAGCAAACAATGTAGTTGCAGACGCTTTATCTCGCATAACTTCCTTGAACAGTTTCCAAGGAATCGACCTTCTTAAACTCGCCGAGCTTCAAAAAGAAGACAGTGATCTTCAGCACGAGTTATCGTCCACAACACTTAAACTACGCATCAAACAGATGGGAACAGGTAAGGAAACCTTACTTTGTGACACATCTACAGGTAGGGATCGCCCAATCGTGCCGAAACATTATCGACGCAATGTCTTCAATACATTGCACAAACTTTCTCATCCAGGTGTTCGTGCAACCATCAAGCTTATAGCAGAACGGTTTTGCTGGCCTGGAATGAATAAAGACGTGAGGGAGTGGGCACGCTCCTGTGTAAGCTGCCAAAAATCTAAGGTTATCAGACACAATAAATGTCCCTTAGGCTCATTTAAAACTCCCGATGCTCGTTTCGACCATGTTCATCTGGATTTGGTAGGACCTTTACCAGATTCAAATGGATACTCTTATCTCTTAACCTGCGTAGACCGTTTCACTCGATGGCCATAAGCAGTACCTATCAAGGACATCACTGCTGAAACAGTGGCCCGCACCTTCGTCGAACGATGGGTAGCAAACTTCGGTTGCCCTTCAACCATCACTACAGACCGCGGACGTCAGTTTGAATCCGATCTTTTCCGTCGTCTGACCACTCTTTTAGGAATCACTCGATACCGAACGACCGCCTACCATCCACAAGCAAACGGGTTGGTAGAACGTTTTCACCGACAACTGAAAGCTTCGCTATCAGCTGCAAACGTTTCACAGTGGACCGACGCTCTTCCACTCGTCTTACTAGGTATCCGCAATGCAGTGAAAGCTGACATTGGATACACTGCATCTCAACTCGTTTATGGTACGACACTTCGACTTCCAGGAGAATTCGTGGATCCTTCATCCTCTTCAATGAACATGGATCTAACCTCCTACACGAACAGGCTTACAAACGCAATGCGTTCAGTTAAACCTGCTTCCACTCGACCTCAATCAACTGATGTTTTCGTTCAACCTGACTTACGATATAGTACACACGTTTTCGTTCGTCGAGACTCGCATCGACGACCCTTCGAATCAGCATACGAAGGACCCTTCAAAGTTCTTCAACGTGAATCTAAGTACTATATAGTCGATAAGAACGGAACCAGCGATAGCATCAGTATCGATCGCTTAAAAGCAGCGTATTTAGAAGGAAATCCTATCTACGTGGATTTTCCTTCGGTACAATCGAACGACACGACTCCGACACTTATAATACCTCATCCGACAACCAACACACACGATGATACTTCGACAGTATCCGAAAATAAACTTAAAACGACGCGTTCTGGAAGAAGGGTGAGATTTCCAGAACATCTAAACGACTATTGCACGTAAGGCACTTCTCGACATTTTATATTATTTTTTAAAAAAAAAACAATTTTAATATGCTTATATATTTTTATTTCTATTTAAAAAAAAACAAAACAAAAAAACAATTTTTTTAACGCTATTACGTGTTCATGAGTTTATTTTCCATTTTTTTTTCCGCCGACATTGTGCTTTTACGCACATACGAGTGTATTTCGACATGCACTTACATTTTCTTTTTTCTTTTCCAGGACGGCTGGAAAAGAACGATGACGTTTATGAGGATCCGAAATTTTCCATGTACATTTTCTTTTTTTACTATGTTGTACCTCCGTCCCATATAGTAAGGAAAGACGACCAGACGCTGCTAAATTTAGTAAGCTATCAGAAGAGTGTTTACCAACGACAAACTCGTTGGGTTTAAACTTCTGGCTGGCCACGTCTTAGGGTCGTCACTGCCCCACTAGGGGGGGAGTGATCTGTAGCGGTAAATAAATCCCCAAAATAAATAGCACTAAGTTTTCGACATTGGATGCTGACCATATGTTTTAGTGGACTCACCTAGCTGAAGGCGCTCGGTCAGGCATCCGCACCAGATCACGTGTGGTAACGCCGTGCTCAACATCAACCGCAATCGCTAGCCAGATTAGATCAGAGAATTCCGATATATTGGTCATCGCCAAATATACTCTTCCGATCTCCTCGACTCTGTCTTTTGATTTCTCTGGGCGGGAACGAAATATATTAGAAGGTGTTACTGGTAGAAGCGTTGTCAAACACTGAATACCTGTGACATCATCATCTGGATACTAGCAGCTATCACATTGCCAGGTAGGAGATTGGTTGGTTGCAATGTGAGATGAAGTGATAATTCGAGTTCTGAGAGAAAACGATAATTCCAAGAATAATGAGTAGGACAGTTAATTGGTAATGTGCGAGAAGGTGGAGTTGAGGGACTTAGATAGAAAATGGAAGTGATAATGGGAAACATAAGAAGTAGTTACTGAAATGCTCTAATATGTCTCAAGTATTCGGAGTTTTCATGCACATAGTTCCCTTTATCGGAGTTTGACAACACCTTAACCAGTAACACCCCTTATAATAAAAATGTACAAGCTAGGTCAAATCAGGAGTCAGAAGTGAATGAGTTCGAAGGTATATTTAATAGAATATCGATGTATTGAGAAGTTATTAGTCCAAGCCCGTAAGCAGTTGTAGGAGATGTGTAGCGCGGCGTACCCGCTCGATTGATTTTGGGGATCTATTCACCGATACAGCTGTAATGATAAACGACGCAATTTATACGACACGTATTGGACAAAGCTAGTCCTAGAGGAAGACTTTAATCTATGGGTGAATATGCGTTTATGAAGTTTCATTTTAAATCTTTTCACCAGGGGGATGTTATCACATCGACTGTCCGAGCACTTAAGCTGTGAGCAGCGCTTTACGAGAAAAAGTTGGGGTGTATATAACCCGGCAGGATGCTCATGTTGAAGTAACTTGACAAACTTAACATTTTGTATGTCATTACTAGATCACATCTTATTCTCTTGTAGCCAAACAAGAAGGAACATATGTGTGTTGGTCTGTCTTCGTTGGACTTGTTCTTTGACATCATAAACTACCTTATTGACTGTTTCTGTACTTGGTCCAAGAGATTTACCCCTATTTTGAGGAGAGATGATGCAAACAACCTCAGGTTGATCCGCCGAGTTTTCCAAGGCTGCGCCCCCCATCTAGTTTGAGCTGGTGTCCAAGCTCTTCATGGTTACAAGCCCGTAAACAGGCTTTGAGGAGATAGTTTGGAGCTCATTTCCATAAAGGGTGTGAGCGATTTGTGTCAAATTGAGTAGGATGTACATAATATAACATTTCGACAGATTACGTTTTAATAACTATGAAACAAACTTGCACATTTTTAGGCCTTAAGAGCAAAACTTCAAAATACCAAACTATTCACAAAGTGGAATCAAATGTTCGAGTTCAAAGATATTAATAAACAAAGTTAGAAGTTGAGCAAAACAAATACATTCAAAACGTCGCGTGGATCCAGTAACTTATCTACAAGTCCTGTGTTTGCAAGTTAAATGGAGCATGTATATCGTAGTCAAAGCGACTGGGAAGATAGCAGATGATCAAGACAGCCAAAGCGATCCCAAAGTGATTATGATGATTAGCAGTGTTCGAATTATAGTAAAAGCTAAGAATCTATAGTATTCTAATTATAGTATGAATTAGGAATTCCAGGATTAACGCAATTGAATTAAGAAGACACAGGCACAACGAATGTACTGTATTTAGAATTCGAAATCGAGCATTCAACAAGTACCAAAAGAATCATTAGTTAATTCAAACACCACATCCGCCACAGCTTAAATAGAAGTACAAGTGTTTGTAATCGGTTGTACGTCTTCTTGTTAAGTTCATCCTGAGTCTGTCCGACATTGTATAGGATAAAAACTTTGTAGTATCTAGAAAGTGCTCATTAGTATTGGAATTAACAAACGAAATCGGAACAGACTCACCTGGAATTGTATACAACCAGCATGTCGGTTTTGTAATGAAATCATTAATATCTAGAATTCGAACCATAGATTTTTCAACACTATCCCCCCCCACGAAATAATGTTGGATCTTTATACTCCCAAGTTATGAATAATGTGGCTTCATTTAAAACATATATCTCACATTGTTTAGAGTAAACATTAGAACTGTTTTTGTGATAAGAGTGAACAGCAGTTGATATGAA